TGTCTGTGTGGAGCAGTGTGGTGTGTTTTGGCGTGGTTGTGCAGTGGCGTGGCTGCTTTTATATTGAAATGCAGCAGCGTGTATGATTTTTGATTTATGATCTGTCACAAAAATAGCCAAGCAGCTACACCCTGCCCTGCTATATGCATACATAGGTGTGCCGGTAGAGAGTCTATGCAGAAATGCGTGCAAGGCAAAAATGCGAGTGTGTGTATGTATGTGCATATGTATGTAATGAAAGCCACTGAAGAAGGATGGCAGTAAAAGATATTTACGATGCCCATAGCGCGTCCAAGCCAAAGTTATGCACAAAACTTTCTATAGAACTCAAGTTGAGGTTCTGGGGAGCTTCCCAGCTTCTTTTTTCTTCGCCTGCCTGCCTGCTGCCTGCTGCCTTCTGCCAGCTATCTTAACACGATCAAAGCCAGCCACAACAACAGAAGCAATCAATTTTCGTTGTTGTGATAGCCGCGGGTAGTCAGACAGCACCGGATCCAGCAAAGCAACAACACACACACACAGACACACACAGGGAGAGACGCACAATTCGCCAATGCGAAAAGCTGCAGGCGATGCGGCTGCTTAATAAATATGATAATGCCTGGAACGGCGAGGCGCGACAGAGCCGAAACAGGCTGCTCTACTAATTAATGTAACAACTACATGGGCAGTCGTAACTGAGCTGGCTCTGAGCTGGCCAGCTTGCTTCTCTTTGGCATATTTCTGTCTCTGGCTTAACCCTAATAATAATAAATAGAGTCAGGATTAATTGAATCGTTCGCACTTTGCGCGTTTCGCGCCGCTTCCCAAACGTGTCACACACGCTGCGACAAATGATATATCGCTCCTATTCAGCTATGCAATTTATTATACAATTATTTATGCCAAGCTTCGGTCCCCAACCCTATCAAGCAACAACAAATTCAAGTGGTCGCCTTACAACATGGCAGCAGCCACCATTTTAGAGTTCATTAATGTGGCATGATTTACGCACAAATGCCAAAGCAGCCAATGCAAAAAATAAATATACAACGAAATTGTCAAGAATTCGGATATGAGACTGGGACATGCATTCATTAGAATAATATGCAGTTAGCATGTTTATCAAAATAGTCAAATGTGAGTTGAAACAGAAAATATTCTTATAGAGATCTGGTGGCTTTTGGTAAAAAGTTATAAATGCTCAAACGGTCATAGAATCTATTGGTCTTCAATATGAATTAAAAATTCCACGTAAATATTCATAGATATCAGAGAGTTCCTTATAAAAACTTAAACCTTATATTCATCTGTTCATATACATGCAATTATATAAATCAAATACACACATTAAATGTAATTAATTTYACTAAAATATTAACCAAAAATAATATAAATATATATGGTAATTAATATATTTATTTGATCAAGCAATTAAAATAATATTCC